AGAGACACAGGACAAGAACCACAGTGAGGGTGTCCCAGTTAGGGAGGGGAAGCCTGGCTGCAGAACACTGCAGGCTGGGGCTGTCCCCTGTCCATCAGCCTGGGGTGTACAGCATGGATCCCTCCTCACAGCCCCCTTATCCTGACTGGGATATGCTGGGCTCCCTGTCAGTGGCTGGAAACCTCTGGGGGAGCTGGGACCTGTCAGGCCCTCCATCCATCCATCCATCCATCCATCCATCCATCCATCCATCCATCATCCATCCATCCATCCATCCATCCATCCATCCATCCATCCATCCTCGCAGGAAGCAAAAACAAATGTGGAGGGCTGGGAGGTGGCCAGGGTGGGAGCTCCCACAGGGATTGATTGGTGTTTACTGACTAATTGCTGCTGGATGCTGCACTGGGCACCTGCCAGCACACACACTGGACAAGCACTGTCCCCTCCCCTGGGGCCATCCTGCTTCAGCAGCCCCAAGGGCACTGCTGAAAAACCCCCTGTCCTGAGGGTGCAGCCCTCAGAGCCCTCCAGGCAGGGGATGTCCCAGGCAGGGATGTCCCAGGCAGGGGATGTCCTCAGGTAGGGGCTGGGGACAGGGTGATGTGTCACTGAGAGCAAGGACGGCTCCTGTCCTGGTGCCACCCCCAGGCTGGGCTGGCCTTACAAGGACAGAGAGGATTCACCTCCCCCTCTGTTTCAGCTGTCACCATTCCCAGCTCTGCCAGCAGGGACTGTCCCCAGCAAGGGCCCTGCAGATCTGCCAGTCTGGGAGGGCAGCCAGCCCCCAGCTGGGGCTGTTTTGGGGAGCACTGGGGGATGATGGGTGCTGTAAATCCTGCACCCAGCCCTACTGCCCCTCTCCAGTGTATCCCATCCCCATCCCACGTGCCGTGGCAAGCACCATTGTGCCACCCCGAGCAGCAGGGACCTCTCCTTGGAGAGCTGAGCCACATCCATCAGACAATTCCCAAAGCCTTCCTCCTCTCCACAGGGGCTGTGTGGGGTCTCTACACACTGCCTGTCCCTGGTCAGGCATCCAGAAACCAGGGAAAGCCTCTCAGCCTGGAGGGTGCCCAGCAGTTTTGGGGCTGTGGAAAGCAGATGGGTGCTGGAGAGAGAGGTCTGGTGGGTCTGGGGTTACAGGGCAGGGGTGTCTCAGCTGTGTCCCTGTGCCCATGGCCCAACCTCACTGAGCCAGGCACAGGAGATCAGCCAGGAGTTAATGACACTGAGTTTAACCGTGGCTGAGCCATCTCTGTGCACAATGTCCCCAAAGGCACGTCCCCAAAGGCACATCCTGGCCGTGGTGTTACAGAGCTGCCTCCTGCCAGCACAGCCACAGAGGCCAAGGTGTCCCCAAGCTGTGCCCTTGGCTGATGGGGACAAGTGGCATTTGGGAAGGCAGAGCAGCATAGCCAAACCTTGTCTTGTGAGCCAGGGCCACCACAGTCCCTGGATGGGGACACCACAGGGACATCACCTGCGATGGCTCTGCTCAAGGAAGGTACTCAAGCCCTGGGAGGAGTTTGGGGCTACCTGGGGCAATCAGCCACCACTTTAACCCCAGGACCAAGTCCCCTTTCCTCTCTGATACCAGGTCCCTGTCCCTGCCTCTCCTCTCCCTTTTCAGCTGCTCTGGTTTACATAATTAAAGCAAATTTGTTGTAACAACATCTTAATGCCCTCTGCCCCTTTGGGTGCTGCTTCTCCTCTCTTCTCCTCACCACTGCTCTGCTCAGCATCCTCACAGCCCCAGAACAGGTCAGAGGGTCCCAGGGGATGAGGAAGGGGCTCAGGCACTGTTCTAAAATGGGATGTCCAGGGGCCACCACACCTCCCCATCCCACTGCCAGGTCCCAGTGCCTGTAGCCAAATAAATGATCAATGCATGCCTGCCCCATGCCAAAAAATCCCCCTGGAGGGGCCACAGCTCAGCTGTGACAAAAGTGACTCTTTCTGAGTTTTCAGCCCCAAAGCAGTGCCGGAGCCAGTGCACGACTCCCTCTCCCATCCCCAGGCGGCACCAAAAGTAAGTTCATTGTTTGAAAAGCCATCAGTCAAGGCTTGCTGGCTAAAATTACCCTCCTGCTTTATCATCTTGAGAACATTAAGGGCTGTTGTTAACAGATGTTTCGCGTTACACATTATTTGTTAGTCTAATGAAAGGAGGTGAACAAGCTTTCAAGACCTCAGAAGTTGTGCCGAAGGTTTTCCATGGGAGGCTGTTGCACCACTCCAGGGGAGAATGAAGATGAAGATGAGGGTGTGAATGAGCACTCACCACCCTGTTGACTTTTCCTTGCTCTTGCCTGGCTTGTGGGATTTCTGATTTTTGGGTGTCATGAGAGCAATGTGTTACACAGATATTTGTATTCACCGTCCTAGGAGGATGGGTGCACTCAGGGCCAGTTTGGGGCTGTGGCCAAGGCAGGGGCTGAGCAGGGGCTGGAGAGGGAGCTGGGCATGGCTTTGGTCCTCAAAAGCCTCCCAGGTGCCAGCAGAAAGGGATGAGCCAGCCCTGCAAGGGGCTCCTGGAGAGGAGGTGTGCCAAGGACCTTGGACACGGGGCTGCCTCCAGCCACCCTCCCCAGCAGGCAGGGCTGTGGGGGGGTGAGGTCAGGAGGGGCTGAATCCCCTTCTGCAGAGAATAAATCCCTGAGCTTCTCTGGCTGTGCCAGCCTCGGGAATGGAAACCTCTCCCTGCAGCTTCCCTGGGGAAGGGGAGGGGGTTTTTTTGGGGTTGGAGCCTGCTGGCACAGCTTGGGGCTGCCTAAAGATCCTTGTGCCAGCTCTGCCAGCGCAGCCCCGGTGAGCCCTGCCTGCTGCAGGGTCCCACAGCTCCACAGCAGGTTCAGGGCTGCTCTTCCTCCAACCCAGCAGCACAAAGCCCCCGAGGGCTCCTGCCTGGAGCTCAGAGCCACATCCTGCAGAGATGCAGGGGCACCTTGGCCACTTGTGCTCATAAAAAAAACACTGCCACCAGCTGCGGGGCTCCAAAGCTGCCTCTGGCAGAAAATCCCCAGGATGGTGAAGAGGAAGATGAGAGAAAATGCTGAGAGGCTGTTTTATTTCAGGATGCCAGTAAAAGATAAGGTTACCAGTAAAAGTTCCTTTGCTGTCATCGCAGATCTGGAGCAAAAGGCTGATGCTCACAAAGGCAGGACTGGTGTTTCAAGTCTTCCCATCTCAATTTAGGCAATTGCATCCCAGTTTGGGCAGTGGCAGCAGGTGAGGGTCTCAGAGGTCCAGCTTTGCATGCACACAGGTTCTTGTCTCTGTTTCCTTGTTCTCTTCTTGCCCACTGCTCTCAACTCCCAGGTATTTTTCAACACCAGAAATGCTTCAGCTGCTGGTCAGCCAGTCAGAGCATTCCAGATGCTGATGGTGTCTCCATCCATGCAAGCTTGCCAGAACAGGTGCTAATGGGAAAGATCTCACAAGGGCCAGCACTGCTGGGATCTGCAGACCAAACCCCAGGGCCCCTGCCTGGGGGGAATGGGTTTTTAGGGTGAAGAACAGGTTTGTGGTGATCATGCAGCCTTGCTCTGTTTTTTTGCACCACGCTGGGTCCACGCTGAGTTCTCTGGGTGCATTAGGAGCGCAGGTTCAGGGCTGTTGTTTCTCTGCTGTTTTGCAAACAGCCCTGTGAAACTCCTGCAGACTGGGTTTCCCAAAGCTGTGCTGATCCCACATGGAATACTGTCCCCCTACAGACCCACAGGCAGGAGAAACCCTCCCCACAGCCCCACAGCCACTGCCAAAACTACAAACAAAACCCAAGGGAAAGGGAGGGAGGGTGGAAAACACCACTGAAAATACCAGATACCATCCCAAACAGCAGCGCCCAGCCCTCAGCAGCGCGAGCAGAGGCAGGCTGGGGGCTCAGTGGGGCTGTCCATGAAGGGAAGAGGTTGTGCAGAGAATGAGTTGTGGGTCGGAGAAAGATGCTTCAGACCTGCACGCTGGGCAGGAGCCACGGGAGGGGGCAGAGAGAGCACCGGGGGGACTGAAGGGACTGAGCCCCTTCAGCAGCACAGATTCCCGGGCGGGCTGTGCACCTCGGCAGGGCTGTCAGCACCCAGGGCTGTAGAAAACAAACCTGGGGCAGCACAGCCCAGCCGGGAGACAGCTCTGGGGAATGGCACCAGGCCGGGAGGGCACCTGGCCCGGGCTCTGGGCATGGCAGGGCTCTGCCTCCCTCTGTCACCTCAGCGTCCCGAGGGGACACCGGGCTCCGGGGGGCTCCGGGGACCGTCGGCTGCCCCGGCACTGTGGCCTTGCTCCAAGAACGGGGCGATCCCTCCTCACCCCCGCCCCAGGACCGGAGCGGGGATGCGCGGGACCGGCGGAGCGGCGCGGAGGGAGAGATGCGAGCGGGATTGTCCCGTTCAAAACGCGCCTCCGGCCCGGACCGAGCGCCATGAAGCCGAGCCCGGGTCGGTCCCGCTCTCCTCTCGCGGCCCCGGCTCTGTCCCCACTGATGCCGGAGAGGCGCAGCTGCGGCCGCCGGGACGAGCCCCGCTGTGTCCCGGTCCCCACGGCCCCGCCGGGACGAGCCCCGCTGTGTCCCGGTCCCCACGGCCCCGCCGGGTCGCCCCCGCTCCCCGCGCCCGGAAACCGAGACCGGGAGCCCCGGGGGACATGGGGACCCCGCAGGCCGCGCAGCCCCGGCACGGACCGACTTCCCGGGAGCGTCCCGGACCCGACACCTCCGGTGGCGGCGAGGAGGCGGCCGGTGAGGGGTCCCTGTGCCCCCTGTCCCGTTGCGGGGTCCCTTCCTCACGGTGCGGGGTCCCTCTGCCCCAGCCGTCGGGGAGTCGGCACCTCGCAGCTCGCCTCCCCCCGCTCCCCCAGTTCTCCCCACCCCGCCGCGGGGGGACACCGACCCCCTTTGTCCGGGGTGCCCGCTCCGCGGCAGGGCAGGGGGACACGGCGGGGACACCCCATCCCCAAAGCTGCCCCATCCCCGGGAGCCCATCCCGCCCGGCGGGACTCACCGTCCTGGGGCGCTGCCTCGCTGCCGCTGCTGCCTCCCGACGGCTCCGGGATGGCCTTGCCGCCACCGGCGGGCGGGGGACCGGCCGCGGGGGTCCCGTTCATACCGGCCGCCACCTCCTCCAGGTCGAGGAGGTGGCTGACGCTGAAGTTTTTCCGGCTTTGAGCGTTTTCGGGCGGCTCCGGGCCGCGCACGGCGCCGGGGGCGAACGGCTTGTCCATGGCAAAGGCTGGCGCCGAGTCCATGGCTCCCACCCCCAGCCCGCAGCCCAGCCCGAGGTGCCGGGCCGCTCCCCGGCCCCCTTCCCCACCAAAAGAGAAAAAATTAAAATAATTATAATTTTTTTTTTTTTTAAATAAGGGGGGGAAAAAATCACGGCTGCCCTGAGTCCGGCTCCCTCCCCAGCCCCTGTTCCGCCTTGTGCTGACGTCTGGGGAAAAAACCACGCTCCCAGCCCAAACTTTCTTCCCCTGCTCTTTGCTCTGGAGCTGTTCAAACAAACGCCCCTGCTCTGAGCCGAGCGGGGCGGCCCATCGCCCCCCCGGCCCTGCGACCTGCCCCCCTGCCAGGGACCGAGCCCCGCCGGCAGCCAAGCCGCGGAAAGGGGGGCAGAGAGCGGGGCAGAGAGGGGGGCAGAGCCGCTTCCCCCCCTCCTTCTCTCCCCCCCTTATCCCATCCGCATCACCCCCCCAGCCCTGCTTTAAGTGCTTCTATCAACAAGTGTAAGTGGCTGCGCTCCGTGGGGAGGGATGGGGTGGGCTGGGAGAGGGGCTGGGGGGAGAGGTGACCCGCAGGTTAGCGGGGGACACGGCCCCCCTCCACCTCCAAGCACCCCCCTCCTCCGGTCCCCATCAACCCCGCAGCAAGGTCACCTCTCCTGGGAAAAGCCTGGCTCTCTCGCCTTAATGAGATAATTACGTCCTGCACCACAGTTAAAAACTCATAGGCTGCTTCCCTTGGGGTTAGAAAGAAACCTCCCTAATGAAAACCAGCCACCGGGAAAAAGGAGTTTTTCCTCTTTAAAAATCTATATATTTATATATATATATATATACATATACATGCACACAGATATGCAGGGAGGAGGCAGTAGGAGGGGAGGGAGGGAGGGAGGGAGAGGGGCAGACCCCGGGGCTGCCTGCTGGTGTCCGGAGAGCGCTGGGCTCGGGGCGATGAGCACAAATCGAAGAGGTTAAACAATTTTTCCTTCCCCCCGATTCCAGCCGCTCTCCTGCCCCGCCGCTGCGGGGACATTCGGACAGGGCTGCGCTGGGTTCCACGCGGAACCTCCGAGCGAGATCGGCCGGCTCTGAGCTCGTAAACATCCCAGCTCCAGCACGGCCGAGGGAGGCAAACCCCTGGCTGAGTTATTTTAACATTTGTCGAAAGCTTTTCTTGCGCTCCCTTCCCCTCCAGCCGAGGCGTGCGGATTTTTAAGGCAGCCAGCGCTGCCAAATCTGATCTTCCTGACGGGGAAGCGGCTTCCCAGAGCTCTCCAGCTTGGAAGGGGTGCAGCTGAAGGCAGATTTTGGCTCTCTCCAGCTCTGCGGGGGGCTCCTCCAGTGTGCAAACAAGCCAGCCCAACCTCCCTTCCCCCTCCTTTTTTTTGGGGGGGGTGTCCGTTTATGGGTTCTGTCGGTCCTCGGGGCGCTTCGGGAGCCAGCTCCGCTGTCTGGTGGTGTCCCCTCGGGGTGTAAATCTCGGGCTGCTGTCACACTGGCCCTGCTCCTGCTTCCCCCCGGGATCTCCCAAAGATGGGAGTTTTGGCTCTGCCCAGCACCCAGCTGGACACGTCCCCATCCCCCCGTGCCCGCCACACTTATGCACTCCGTGGGTATTTATTTTATTATTTATTTTATTTTATTTTATTTTATTTTATTTTATTTTATTTTATTTTATTTTATTTTATTTTATACAAATAAAATGCCAGCAGCCCTCCTGGCTGCTGGGAGGGGATGGCAGCATCCCCCCTGCGACCACCGGGCTCTGGGGGGCCCAGCACAGCCTCGTTCCACCCTTCCCTCGCTCCATCCTGCTTTTCCCCACCCTGGCTGCGGGGACAGACCTTCCCCAGGATGGGGATGACCCCACGTCCAGGAAAAACTGCTCCAGGATCAGCCCTGGCAGTGACCCTTCAGCAGTGGGCACTGGTTGTCCCCAGGGCAGTGGGGACCCCCATCCTTGGGGTGCCTGGCACCCCGCTTTTGGCTCCAGGCTGGGAACATCTTGCTGTGATTATTTAGGGGTGACTGGTCCTGGCCCATGGAAGGGCGAGGGCAGCAGGGGGGGATGGAGCAGCCCCATCCCCGTTTATAACCCTCTTCCTCCTCCTTGTTTAGGGCCAGACCTTATTCTTGAACTGTCTGGCTTTTCCAGGGGAGACGGCTTTCCCTCAGTCCGTGGCATTAAATAATTAAATGGAGGGAATAATCGTCGGTGAAACCCCCTTGGGTTCGCACTTCCTCGGGCCCTGTGATTGCTGATATTTTTTTGGTTGAAATATGACCTTTTTTATGATCAAAGGGGATCAGAGTTCCAAAGGAAAGTTAAAAAAAAAAAAAAAAAAAGGAAAAAAAAAAAGGAGGGCAAGCATTTTCTTTTTTTCCCAGTCCTAGCGGTCTGGTAAAGTTTCTTTAGACATGCAAAGATTTACACACCTTTCTGCAGGGTGCCTTAAATTACCCTCCAACTCTTTACACATTTCCATGAGCAGAGCAAGAACAGTAAGTCATTGAGAAATTAACTGGCCTTTCAGTAATATCCCCTGTCGGCCTTTCAGAAGGAGAATGCCTAATGACTTTTTTGAAGTAGAGGTCAGGGTTTGCCTTTTTTAAATAAAACAATCTGTATTAATGCAATTTCCTTTTTAGCTGTAGGATTTGCCCCTTTTTTTCCTCAGCATCGTTTTTTTAACGCCACCAGCCACACGAGGCATCCCAAGCAAGACCCGATTGAAACACACACTCCTGGCGCTTCCTAACCCGCTTGAGCAAGCTCTTCTCCTTTATTTTTTTTTTGTAAAAATTGTGTTTTAAAATGGACTTCGAAGCTGGCAAGGTGACTCTTGGCTTTGGGCACAACTTGGGTGGTGCAGGGACAAAGCTGAGCAGGTTTGCTTTACCTGACAGCAGCGCCTGGGTTTTGCTGAGCTGGGTGTGAGCTCTGAGTCCGGCTTTGCTGGGCCAGAACTGCCGGGCTGATGAAGCAGAGGCACGGAATTGGCAGGGCTGAGCTGGGCTCCTCAGGGTGAGGATCTGCCTGGCCACAGCCTGCCAGGTTTGCAGCCCTTGGGATGGACGTGTTTCTGTTTGCCAGCCCTTCATCTTCCTCACAAAAGAAAAGGTTTAAAATATTCTATTTTTTGGTAATCTTATTTGATGTTTTCTTGATATTTCTCTCGTGCTGTGCCAACACCTTGTGCTTCCATAGTGCTCAGCATGGCATGGATCTGGATGTGCTCTGCCAGCCCCAGCCCCTCCTCACCCCAAAACCGTGGGCTGGGGCAGTGCAGCCTCCTTGGAGCACCACCTGGGATGGTGCTGCTCCTTGTGCTACCCAGGTGTTCCATGCTAACGTTCCCAAAATGTTGCCCTGTGGATGTTCTGGTGCAGAGAGCTGGGCTGGCTCATGCACTGCTAAAGGATTTTCTGACTGTGCTGCACCTCAGCTGCACTGGAGGATGCTCAGAGTGGAGTGTGGGGGTGGTGGGGGCTTGGCAGGACCAGAACCCGGCTCTGGGGGTGGGAGGGTGCCCAGCCCCGTGTCCTGCCCAGGCTGGGGATCAGAGCACCCCCTCCACCCCCAGGGCATCGGGCAGGGGCCAGGGCAGTGCCACCCACGGGCGACAGCCAGGAGGAGTCCCCTGTGCTGCAGGAGTCCCCCGTGCCCAGCCCTGCCCTTCCCAGCAGGAATGGTGTTTCTGGATTTACTGAGCAGCTCCTCTTTCTCCTCCATCCCTGCCAGACCCCAAAAGTACAGCATGCCCTGCCTGGCTCCTCTCCTCCTGCTCTCCCCTGCAGCCCTCACAACTCCCCCCAGTGCCTCCTAGCTCCCTGTCTCTGTGGTCGGTGGTTATAAAACACACCAGCCAGCCCCTTGGTGAAGATTTTTCTCCCAGCTTTCTCATTCCCTCTTTTTCTGCCTCTCTTCTGCTCTTTCTTTCTCTCCCTCTCTTTCTTTCCCTGCCAGGAATCCCAGTCAGTCCCAGATGAACCAATACTCCGTGGCTCTGCTATTTCCCTTTTATTCCCCCCCCCCAACAGCGAGATGGGAAAAGAGTGAACTGAAAAAAAAAAAAAAAAAAAAAAAAAAAAAAAGAGAAAGAAAGAAAGAAAAAATCAAAGCGGCACATATTGGATCCAGATGTGCTTACAGCCCTTTCCAGCAATTTAATTAAATTCCCCCAGACAGCCAGGAGGATTTCTTAATGATCAAATTTCCCTGGCTTTCCTCCTAAAATGCCCCTCTTTCTTCGGCTGGCTGTTGCTGTGTCTCCCTGATGGATGGCCAACTCGCATTCTTCCGAGTCCGCCCCGCCAGGGCCGTGGGGAGGCAGGGGCAGAGCCCGGCGCTGTTATCCCAGCCAGGCACCCAAACACGGGGCCAGCAATGGCCCTGCTCCCAAAATCTCTGCTCCCAGGAAATGTGGGGCTGGGGACGCCCCCCTCCCCCGGGGTTTTGCGGTGTGCTCGTGGCACCGGGGGACTCCCACGTGCGTGGTGGCGAGGGAAGGGCTCAGCCCGTGGCTCTCCTGCTTTGTCACCTCCCAGGGCTGCTCTGGAGCCAGGTTTGGTCCCACACCGTGTCCCCAAAGCCTCCTTTCAAGCTGGGGGTTCCCAGGCTGGGGGCAAAGCCTCCGTGGCCTGGAAAGGCACATTTGGGCTGGCACGGCCCTTTGGGGCAGCCCGGTGTCCCCTCTCATCCTCAGGGACAGCGTGGCTGGGGTCAGAGGTGGCACTGGGGTGACCCTGCCTTGGCAGCCCCCCTTTCCCAGCCAACAGCAGAAAGCAGCAGTGATTTCTCCCCAAAATGGTGTCTGTGGAGGGCTGGACCTGCACGGTCCCCACCAGTGGCACACAGACAGGGATGGGGTTTGTGTCTGGTGCTGCCACTGGAATTGTGGGGAGTCCAGGGTTTTCTTGGACTATCAGGGTTTGGGCTTTACCTGGGACTGGAATGGGAATCTCTGCCGCCCAGCCCACCCAAAGTGGGGTCCCTGCAGCCCCACTGCTGAGTGGCTGCTGTGGTTTGAAGCCAGCTGAGCCCCCTTTGCAGAGGGACAAATCCCCA